CCCCAAAACCCCAAAACCCCAAAACCCCAAAACCCCAAAACCCCAAAACCCCTGAATTTATAACAATTATTGCTATATAATAAATCAGGTCAGATTTTATCTATGGAAGATTAAAAATTCAAAGAAAAGTTATTGAAACTACTTAGTCATGAAAGTTCTTCCTTAGCTCTTGATCATTGACACTTTAGAGCAGGTATAACACTCAGTGAAAAGCCAATGGCATATATTTCTTGTCAAATCGATACTTTCGTTCTTGGTAAGACTGATTTCCTTGCTCCTTTCTTGCAAGAAAACAGTCACGAATTCATTGCAAATCTCTGGAGCATGCTCAGCATTGTTTATGACAGAGAATTCTCTTCCTTTAGCCTTATCACGAAGTTCTCTAGCCTTTGCAATAATAACATCAGAAGCGGGGGTGATCATTGTGGTATTTTCAACCTCTTCATTAGCTCCACTGTTGTTGAGTACCTCGTCATTTTCAGCTTTCTTCTCCCACCCGTACTTATTTAGACATTCTCTGTAGGCTATAATGAACTTGAGCATTGTCTTGTAATATTCGGGGTTAATCTTTTTTGAAATCTCATTCAAATAGATTGCAAAGACCTCGTCAGAGCTCAGTTTACTTCTTTCCTCTTCAGGCAAGTTATTGATGTCCCGGGTTAAATAAATTGTGCTATCTGGGTTCACGAACAATGAATCTTGTCCTTCTGTCTCCTTCATTTCTTCTGAAACTCCTTCGCCGCCTGCATCTCCGGATGAAGTTCCTCCATTTTCCTTAGGCTTGGAATCAATTTTCTTATGGATACCCTCTGTAAGAGACTTGATACAACCAGCATCGAGTGCAAATTTCTCGAGGTATTTGTACAGTGGGAACTTCTTGTAGTCAGAGTACTCATCATATTTGAACCCTTCAAGAACTTCTTGGAACCCATGGATGGGATTAGTTGGGCCTCCTTCTCTCCCTTCACTTTTGAAGTATTCTTCAGTAGTAGGGTCAATCCTTTTCTGAGTCTATACCAACACTCTGATTAGATTTGATTAATTAGAAACTTACGTTTTTCCTAGGTCTTCCTCTACCTCTCCCACTAAAAACAGGGAGGACTGGCTTTCCATCGTTACCATCAGAGTGCTTCAGCTTAGTATGAGTGTACAATGCCGGGTAGGAGAGATAAGTCTTGTCTCATTTATCGCATTTGAAGTTTCTTCCATCGTTGTCCTTCTTAGAGCGTCTCTTTGACTTGGTGCCCTGATCACTGACAGAATTGTTTCCAGAAATTCCATCATCTCTTCTATAATCCGTAAGATCTCACAAAGACAAATTTCTTAACTTACCCTTGGTCATTTGAACTTGGGTTTTGAGAATTCATTTCCAATTAAAAATTTATATACCAAAGAATTAGAAAATTCCAATTAATATACTGCAAGAGGGGTTTTGGGGTTTTGGGGTTTTGGGGTTTTGGGGTTTTGGGG